CCCACTATCATCTGTCCTCTCTCTTTGCTTTTAAGAAGGGTCTTTGTCAGAAATGTCCTCTAATTATATATAAAATGTAATGTACATACGTGTATGTACGTCGAACTTATTTCACGCCGTACTTTGCCAACCGTGGCTAATTAGAGGCACAGCCTTTGTCAATACGCAGCGGGATGAAGGCTTGGGTGATGTTTAACCATACTTCACCATACTGGGGTGGGGGGCGGGAGGCGATGAATGAGATGGAGCGATGAGATTACGGGTTGGCTACGTACGGTGCGAAAGAAATTCAACATACATACATCAGCTAATGCAGGAGGCAGATGAATTGTGACATCGTGGAGCCATGTTATATGGAAACTGTGGACATGCCGACATCCAGCAGTGGATCGATCATAACTGTTGATTATTATTATTATTCTGTTCCATTACCAATAGAAAGTGTCACTGAGTCACATGGCTCTGTTTCAGCAGTCGCGCGTGTTGGTTGCTGCGTCTTTTCCATTTGGGTAATTTGGACCGTAATGCCGGTTTACACGATGGCCTACGCTTGCGAATGGTATCACGGGATCTTTAACATCCACCGTGAAGCAGATGGTGTGTATGTTTACCGGTAATACACCGGCATTGTGGCTAAGGGGGCAGCAGCCGGTTTTAAAACCGTGAACCTCTGAAATAAAAACCCCTTCTGCTAAGCCATGTCGCTGCCCCAGATGATAATAATTGCATGCATCCTCAGTTACAAATCTGGATGATGTAGGACGTAAAGCAATATTTCACAGCTGGTGCCATTGTTGATGTTGCGTTTGAACTGGCAGGCGAAGACGCATACCGCGAACAGAGCCCCCCGCTCAGGCAAGGTAGTTATGTCATTGATATATGTTTTGTACATTATTACGTTATGAAAACACGGCCACTGATTTATTTCCCCGTGTTTAAATGTTATCATAAGAAAAGACAATCGATAACTCATAAAAAAAAATACGTGCGGATTCGGGGACGCTGCTGTTTGGAGTACATTTGTCTTTCATTGGCTTTCACCTGATAGATCGGGCTTTTTTTTGCATTTCTATAATGCCAATCCTGTGTGCAATTTTTTGTCAGCAATTCATCACGAAATATTGCATTTTAGGCACGGTGACCTTTTGAATTATGGACAAATAATCCTCGTTAATGAAATGCCTCATGCATGTAGTACAAGATACAATATTTCGTGAGGAATCTCAGCGATGTCATTGATTGGCAGTTTAAATTGTGCGCATTGATTATATTTTATTCTGAATTTAATGCATCTCAAACCTTTCCCTTCCAAATTAAATCATATAGCATTGATTTTTTAACCCACTTTCTGTAAGATTGATTTTAATTTTTTTGTCTATATAATTCAATTTGTATGATTTTCCATGCCCCCCCTCCCCCCAAGTGTGTTTCATACCACACATTCTTTTTTTTTATGAGCTTTGAAGTTACACGAATTCTGGAGAAAGACACAAACTACCTGGCAATTAGTCGCGAAAAAACAGCTCATCGGAGACCCAAACGATGGGTAAACATCAGCAAACACTGCCATCTTGTGGAGATCCTTATTTCCAAGGGCAACTTGGCTCTCCACGCGACACGTCCATGTTCATCCGCAGCAGCTGGTGCTACTGCTGCTGCTGCGTGTTCTTCTGATGTGAATGATTCGCTTGCGCGTGACAGCCTCTTTAGCCGCGAATTACTGGTGCGAGAAATGCACCGTGTGCTCTTTTCTGCGCTCTTTGTGCATTCATTTACTGCGCCAAAAAGTCGTAAAGAACGGCAGGTGAAGATGCTCACAATAATTGTATTCGTGCATAATAAAGGGAAGGGTGAAAGTGCATCGTTGTCGACATTCCGCTGAATTGCAACTGCAGCTTAAGTTTACAGAGATAATTCTTGGTCGGAATGAGCTTTGATTCACAAAGCAACGATGAACATGTCCTGTGACTTTTCTGATTGCTATGCCCCTCTCCAGAGGTCGCCGGTTCGATTCGATACCCCGGTGCGACAGCTAAAACAATGGCGCAAGCTTCTTAAATCCCTGACCTCTATATTCTTGGTTCTATCGGTAAAGTCACGTAGAAGGGAAACAATAAAATAATAAAAATATAAAAACAATAAAATTCTCACGACGTTTCGACTGCAACACAAGCAATCATCATCAGGTGTGAAAACCACAGCAAGAAAATTTTTGTTGAGCCAGCAGAATAATTGGATACACCACAGCTGGCCAATCAGGAGGCCGCGTGTGGTGCGGCAAAGTTTGGGTGTACTTCCACCTCTCTCAAGGTGAAGATGTATGTGGCCATCGTGGAAGAGTAGGCCAAATACTCCGAGGGATTCGGTGGAGGCCCTTCGGCCAGATATGGTGTGAGCAAGCAATTGCAGGGCTGCCCCTTTACCTTTTACTGCCTGGACTCTGCACATGCTGGGCAAGACCCGCCGAGTCTGGCATGAAAGCGTTGCTCTGGCGGAGGGGAAGGTAGTTTTTAACAACCCTTCCTGCACGTAAGGAGACGGTGATTAAGTGTGTGGTGTGAAGGGCTGATTCACAGATCACAAAGGCGCAGTGCAAAGTTACTTTCCTTGGATGACTCCAAAGAGCACTTCGCTGTTGATCAGTTGATAAAAGGTTGGGCACATATATGACAGAAAGTAAGGAAGAGGTCTGTGTCGAACGACAGGGAATGAGATTAGAGTTGAAGGGAGAGCGAGAACAAAGTGTGAGTGCGGCAATGGGCACCGTCGCTCTGTTTCCAAGCAGCTTAAAATATATTATTTTGTGCTGTCAGGTGCCAAGCCATTCGCTTTTACAATCGCAGAACCCGCCTTGCATGTCTGCCTGGATGTATCTGTCCAGAGTGAGTACTGTTTGACCATTTCTCTCGGTCCATGTCCAATGACCTGTTCATGTACATTAAAGAAAGACTTCTTCATTGTCAGCATCGGCTATGATCAATGCACTACTGGATTAAGGCGCTTTCCCCATCTGGTGCCCCCTAACAAAAAAATTGTAGACATGATAGCCGAGTACACGGCCTTCTCTCACATTAAAATAAATGGACAGGTCACAGAAAGCCAAAACCAGTAAAGAGATTCAGTTTAACACGTAGGCTTTCGCGACCAATATCATTCATAATATTGGCATGTTCTGTTTAAGTGACAAACATTAATAATAGGCTGTGTCGGGTGGTGGCGGTTTTAACGAGATTATTTATATACGCGAACTAACCCCCCCTCCAAAAACCGATATTACAGTAAATAGATTGCATGCTTAAACAAATTATGCTGGAAAAAGCTGATGGGACTACATTACATGTTATTTTACACAGAGACATGGACCCCCTGTATCTATTTTTGATATTATGATTTTGTGGTAAGAACTACTGTTCTTGTATAATAAGAAATACGGGGCATGCAGTTTGAGAGTGGTGTACGTGCATCTGTATTTAAACTGATTGATTTGCATGCGATTGGTTTTACTATTCACTCACAAATTCAAGCACAATTGTTTAAAGATTGCATAGCGCTAAACCTTATGAAGCTTGACTCTGCATACAAATAATTTAATGTCTCCGTGTTTTTATGCGTCTCAGTATTTCCCAACAGTATTTCAGTATCTTTATCTGAGTAAATAAGTCATGAAGCATGGTGAATATATTACATATATAAAAAACATATACTGTACCTAAAAAAAAATATACTGCGAATATGTAATACATTTCAGTACTTCTGTTGAACATTCTTTTAAGAAGATATCACGTTAAAATCACCTGACTATGCCTCATCTTATCCGATTGTTAGAAGCTGAGAGGGTTAAGCCTGGTTAGCACTTGAATGGGAAACTGCCTGTGAATATCAGGTGTTGTAGGTTTGCAATATGGTATGTAATTTTTGTTATCCCTTCTATGTGGAGCTCTGAGTGTGACCCAAAGTATGAGGTGAGTGCGAGTGTCTGGTCAAAGTGAGCTTCTGGTAAGTGGTGGGTGGTGAGTTGGCACACTAGGGGGTTCAGCTGATGCATCTACCAGTCATCTCAGTCAGCCAACCCATGGCACCTGCTGGGTCTGTCCCGAAACCTCCTCCTGTCAGCAGCGAGCCTTCGACACTTCACGTAGCCTCAAAGTGCACCTGGCCTGGCACAGGCGTCGTGGTGACGTCACCGTGACGGCGGGTTATTGGTATTGGGTGGTGAGTTAGCTGGTGGGTGTGAGTGTCTGTTGAGTGTGAGTAGTGAGTGCTATCAAGTGAGTATTGTGTGTCTGGTGAGTGTCAGATGATGGACAGGTGAGCGTTAAGTGTCATATTACCCCATACATATGATGGGTTACCGTGTACCAAAGCGCCTCCTATGCAGTTATTTTAACATCATAGGGCACTTGCAAATCATCTGGTGTGCTGGAGCTCGACGAGGAATGTTGTATCATAAGAGTGAGAGCTGGCTACGATTTGGTGACGCCTTAATCCAGGAGTGGATAGCTCACGGCTGTTGATGATGACGATGGTGATAATCACGATGAGGACAACCCGCATCGCTGTGCATCTGAAAGAGCTCGCTTTGTCCAAAGGATCATCTGCCACAGGCGACGTCACCGTGCCGCAGTGGGTCATTAACACCTGCAGTCCTTTTGCTCAATATTGTGGGCACGTGCACGTCGGTGCAGTAGGGGAGCGGTTAGCGCCACGCTGCGCCACGAACCCGACGACCCCAGTTCGAATCCCACTCACGGCCAACACCAGTGATGATCATTTGAACCTGTCCTGGGCCTCGACGCAGCCTAAAATGAGGACCTGGCGTGGCGTGTAAACGTCGCCACTCGGGAGACAAAGGTGGTCGGGCGTGGTGCTGGCCACCTGGCCCCTCGTGTGCCGTCCCGGCGTTCATGGGTGCTACTCGCTAACAGCACTTGCCCCAGCAGTCCGTTACGGGCTATCTTTGTCGCTGTCCTTGTTGTTGTGCGTACGCGCGTGTCCGGTACCTTCGCATCCGCGCTCGATTTGCCCCGAGCGGCGCAGGGCGTCGTCCAGCAGGTCGGGCAGGCGGCCGTTGAGGTCGACGGAGGCCAGGCAGCCCTGGAAGCCGTCCCGTGACACCACCAGCTTGTGGAGGCCCGAGTAGTGTTCCCGGGGCAGCCCGCCCACAAACAGATCGCCTGTCACATGCGACGGCACAGAACGGGCAAGCGGGTCTCTCGCACCTGTAGGACACTTGTTTAATCGACTCATACCGGTGCTCGATGTCGGAATGGTCCCATCTGGTGGGATGGTGCTGTTGTGTTGTGATGCAAGTGTCTGGTTAGCAGTTGGAGGATTATAGATTTTAGCTGCGAGGTTGCTTTGAGATGGTAGCACACACGTGGATTAATACCACTGCAAAGGTGGCGTAGCGGTTGTGCCGAATGGCTCCACGATGTGTTTTCGGGTTGTCCCCGGCCTGACGTCTCCTTCCTGAAGAAGTCCCAAGTTTATTTTGTCTACCCAGGCGAAAACCCAAAAGCGAGCGTGAGAGTCTCATTTTTGCAACGCTGGCTTGGGTCACCAAATGATGACCGCAAAGCAAATGCAAATCGGAATAAAAACAACTGTGTGAGAAGGAAATCGGCACTAGTTGGACGTGTAGGATGGACAACAACCAGTGGCGGATTATTGTAGTAGCACAAGTAGCTACATATGTAGTAGTAGCTACGGGACCAGCACTTTCAAGGGCCCCACGCTAAATGCTTTCAAGCTATCAATTCAGGTTCAGTGATTCTGCACTTTCTCTATTACCATAGTACTATACTGCCTTCAACTTTTATGAACAACTGGGTGTTTAAGGCTAGCGATTTGTCGTATTATCTGGCTGTTTAGAAAATGAAAAAATACAATAACTTTACTATGCAAGTTAAACATTTGTGTTTTTATATTTATGTGTTTTTTTTTATTTAGGGCCCCTTTATACCATATGCTACAGGCCCCGCACTAGCTTAATCCGGCACTGACAACAGCAGGAAAATTAAAAGTGTGTGTTTTGTTGGGAAGGAACCGGACAGAGAAGAAGACCTAGCACAGAACGGCTTGTTGACAACGTAAGAGATCGGTGCCAAAAGGACCAGGCACTATCTTGAGCAGATTGGCACGAGGCAGAGGAAAGTGGAAACAAATGACGAAATATGCAGTGGAAACCTACTACGGGCTATCAGCCCATGGGTCGTGATGATGATTGAAGAAGCTGTCAGCACTTGGAGTAAAACGTCGGACGTCATGCCGAACAAGGCGCGGTACAACCAGAAAGTGCATAAAAGAGCCGTAGATTTGATTAATCTGAGAAGCTTTGAATGTTGTCCCCCCAGGTTCTCCGGTTTCCTCCCCCGCGTCAAACAATCCATGAATGGACGTTGCCGAACATCCCGATGCCTGACTCTCCTGCTTGAAAACGAGCCCTGAGACTCACCGATGCATTATTGTGGAAATAAACATAATTATTACATTTATTAAGGATAGCTGCACAATGTTTGTTGTTAGTTTTATATTGCGCCGTTCATGCAAATTGCGTCTCACCCTCACACGTGGGACAGTAGCCAGGTGATGAGCCCCGGGACAACACTTGCCCAAGCTCTGTGGTCCTCTATACATTGAGTTCAGCCAATTAATGCAACTGCACGTGGGAGGAAACTGGAGCACCCGGAGAAAATGAGAGGGGCAACACGGTCAGATGTTACTGCCTTCTGGCGATCCAGGGCCTGGCACAACCTAGACGTCCAGGGGAAGGGAGTTTCACAACTTTCGTGTGATCCACCAGCCCTCGTCTCTCCAAACAGTGCTGGATTACAGGCGACCGCCGCCCCGGCTATGTGTTGATAGATTCTGTGTAGATTGTCGCAGGTATCTTTAAGCACGGTTTATTGATGCTGGAGGCAACAGTAGTTGTCCTATAGAGCAGCGGTCCCCAACCTTTTTGGCACCAGGGAGCAGTTTTGTGGAAGACAAATTTTTTACGGACCGGGGGGTGGGGGGTCATCATTGGGTCTTTCCCCCTTTTCAAAGAAACTCTCCAGCGACGTTTGTTTTTGACTCATTTTGGCTACTAGGGGTTAGCTGTGACTGAGACAAGTGCACAGTGCGGGAAAGAGGCGCGGATGGAAGTGGTAAATAATAATATAATGGGCGGACCACACCCGGACTAAAATAAGTGTCGGATTCTGACTTCACATAAGGAGCACGCAACCTAGATCCCTCGCACGCGCAATTTACAGTAGGGTTCGCACTCCTATGAGAATCTAATGCCGCCGCTGATCTGACAGGAGGCGGAGCTCAGACGGTAATGCGAGCGATGGGGAGCGGCTGTCAATAACAGATGATGATGAAGCTTCATCTATCAATACAGATGATGAAGCTTCGCTCGCTCGCCCACCGCTCACCTCCTGCTGTGCGGCCCGGTTCCTAACAGGCCACGGACCGGTATAGGTCCGCGGCCCAGGGGTTGGGGACCCCTGCTATAGAGAGACTGCAGTTTTATTCGTGTTTGAAATGAAGCAGCTGTTTTACTGAGAAGCGATGGCATGGATATGGGAAGGCTGTTCTACCATTGCTTGTAAATATCCCAAAAAAAACAATTGGTCAAATTCTTGATGTCATGGATATGGGAAGGCTGTTCTACCATTGCTTGTAAATATCCCAAAAAAAACAATTGGTAAAAATTTTGATGGCATGGATATGGGACGGCTGGTCTACCATTGCTTCTAAATATTCTTAAAAAATAATTGATCAAATTCTTGATGCTCTTGGGTCTTTCAAGTCTCTACAAGAGTTTGTCTCCACCTGCTGGTGGCGGTTGGCGATTGCAATAATCCGGCTGTCAACTGGTTTGTGGGTTTTAATAACCATTCGTGGGGTGGCCTGCTGACACAAATCACCCGGAACGCGCCCGGATCTCATCAGAGATCGGGAGCTCTGAGCAGGGTTGAGCCGGGACAGGGCTTCTATTGGCGAGCATCGTGCATGTCCGGGTTGTTATATTCTGCTTCGAGGTTACTCGTTGGGCGGCAGAAGGCATTGCAGAAACATCGAATGTTGCACTGTGCTCCAGTGCTCCCACGTTTGCCTTCCCGGCCTCCACCAATCCGCGCTGACCAGCATGGTGAAGTATGGTCAAGTAACCTCCTTAAAACCTGCACGGCATGGCATGCGGAGACTCTCATCCAGTTGGGGATCGACAAAAGGGCTGTGCGTGTACATTTATGGGTTGTCTTTAATCACTCTACCACAGCTCTCAGCATACGAATAACAGTTATGATTGTATTGTGTGCACGGCAAGAGCAATAATACACACACACGCACCAGGATACAAATGCACATACCGTGCATACCTCTAGGTTCATAGAATAAAAATGTTAAGTGCCTGTTACATTTTGCTCTCTTACCCCATGGAATGACTGACGTGCATTGTAACAGCGTGTTCACGTGTTAAAAGTTTCACAATGCTTTCCTTCATTTACAATCGCGCAAGGCGCGAGTCACCGCACTCAAAAAGTTCAAGCGAGCACAAACTTTTTCCAGGTACACAAATTAAATAATTTAGTCTTCTTACTCGACTTCTGTGGCCCCTCTATGTGCTGTGAGGAAGGGTTATTGCCCGAAACGACGCCTGTTGTTTATTTTATTTATTTTTTAAGGCCATAGTGTTATTGACTAGTGTGTTCATATTGTTGTTTTTAATTGTGCCAATGCAGTGGCAGCACCATCATCACCAGATAATTATATAAATTCTAAATTATATGCTGCAGTGGACCGAATTGTCACGAATAATGAATGATTGTTTCCGGTGGAAGTCTTTATAAGTTAGATTATTATTTGGGGGGTGCAGGCAGAATTAAAATCTAATCTTAGTTACAACATAGGACCGCATTTTCACAAATGGCAGAATGTCTGATTGTGCGGGTGGTGACCGGCAGCTAACAAGCTAATTGGAGTGTGGCGCCAGGTAAGGTTACTTAACACTTGGGAACACGGTTCGATTATAGTCTGAACACTGAGCAGTGGAGAAAGCAGAGTTATACATCGGCTTCTGATCAATGTAACCCAGCGTGAGTTCGTACAGGCCAAGAGGATCCTGCGTCGGTGTGGCAATTAAGTGGTCAAGTGAACCGAGTGGACTAAAACGAATTGAACATTAATTTGCCTGTACTGCCTGCACGGGCAGACGTCGTCATTGCTTACCATTGTTTCTCACAGTCGGTACGTGCCCGTTGATGCTCTCTACCACTAGTCCTGTTTTTTTCCCCAGATGTATCCCTTTTGTAATGCAGCTTGAGAAAACAAATCTGTAAATCTTCCCGGGACGTTAAACGTTACCAGCTTTTGTCATTAGCATCATAATAATGCAGCGATCGAGGCGATGCATTTAAATGTTCTCCCGCCTCTTGTGACATTGTGAGATATTCTTCTTTACCCGCGATATCCCTGGGTTGTTTTTCTTTTCTTAACTCAGATGTGGTCAAAGCTATCCTGTGGCCCATTAGCATCGCATGCTGATCACACGCCGCTGAAATCGCCCTCGCCGCCCTTCCCCCGGACGAACCGACGTACGTCAAGCGGTAGCATCAGCAGTAGCAGCAGCTCCGGAGGTCAGCGCGAGCCCCTCGGGACTCTTACCCTTGAGGTCGAGGTTGCGTGCCTCGTTGCCGTTCTGGGTCGCCATGTCCCTGTCCACCTTGAGCGTGTGCAGGTTGTTGGCGTCGCGCATGACGATCACGCTGTGCCACTGGTTGTCGTTGAGCTGCCCCTCCGACTTGCCCTTGATCACGCTGGGCCCCTTGCCCAGGTCAAAGGCGTAGTGCAGGTACCTGTAAGGCGGGCACATGGCTGGGTCAGGGCAGCGATGGAGGACATTCGAGGGGAGGGGAGCGCGCATTATGAGCCACGCGCGTGCTCGCGGGAAACGCAGCCCGTTACGGTCGTGTGGCTAACGTGAATCGAACTGTGGAGGGAAAAATTCCAGTGGTTTTCGGTTAGTCCACTGCTGGATGAAGGCTTTCGAAACGCCATGCTTTGTCATGGTGGGGGGGGGGGTTGTTGGAATACATTTGTGGGGAGCGGTGGCGCAGTGGTTAACGCGCCGCGCTATGAACCCAGCCGTCTGAGTTCTGTTCCCGCTCACAGCCAATATTGGTCGTAAAAATATGAACCAGGTCTGGCCATTTCCTAGGTAGACTCGGCCTTAAATCAGTAACGGCTACCGTGTGTCAGATATCGACTTGATATATTTCTTGCGCCGATGTGTTTTTTAAAATTTGTGTTACCTGTCTTCTCCACGAAGACGCTGACGATTACTTTGCCTGCAGCACGAACGAAATGTTGTCATCAAACTGCGGCAAATACCAGGCACTAAACCGGTACGGTTGAATGATCTGAATTCTTAAGAGGTTCTAAGACATTCACATCCAAAGTAAAAGATGCGCTGATGCAGGCCTCTTCCCCTCCCCCTTCCTTCCCCCTCTCCCCCCACTCCAAATCTCACCATAACTTGAATGAGTTTGTGATCACAGTGTTCGTTGCAGAATTTAAACCGCCCGACGGCCTGCTTACTTGTGGGAGCTGTACAAGAGGCCATTGTGCCTTGGTGTCAAGGATGCATAAAGCATTGGCGATAAATATTCCCGAATAGCAAAGTGGGCCTTTCTTAATCCAAAAGCTGCACCACATTTAATGATAATAATACTAATAATAAAAGCTTTACGGAGAACTTGAAAACTTTTGAATAAAAAAATACAACCGCATAAATATGGGTGTGGATATAAAGGTGCTAATTTATGGCTTCTTTATTAACACTATATCCGCTGTTGTTTCGTGACATACCATTAATACATTTTACGAACAGTATTTAGGTGATGAATATTCGGGATGCCCAACGCGGCTATAAATTGTTTTTAGTTACACTTGCATGAATCTTCGTTCTTTGGGAAGGGAGTAAATTGTGAATATAGCGGTGCCAAAAGTCATGAAACCTCTTTTTATGGCTTCGGGAAGGTTCACTCTGTGCGACCACGTGCAACAGTGGGACACGGTGGATGAGGTACAACGCCGCTGCTTCGCCACGCAACATTGCGACCGCCTCGGTAGATGCACGCATAACTTCCATTTAATGGACTGTAAAGCAACATCAATCGACTGAGAAATCACTCGAGTTCCTCGCCGTGGTGTGAGAAATATTTAAATGCCCTAGAGCGCTGGATGCCACGGCATTGAGCGAGAGACGGGGGCGGGGGGGAGGTTGGCATTGAGAAACATTTTATATTGTAAATCATAAGCGCCAGATGAGGTCATCCCTCTAGCGTAGTCCTGCGAGCTTCGTGAAAATATTGATAATGCCAGACCCCCACCGATTCCTTCCTCCTTCAATATGAAATGCATCACAGTACGGCGATGCTTGAATAGACTTCTCTATGTAAACCTTGCAATTGCTACGAAGGTACTTTAAACAAAAAGTGTGTCTCTAGTTTTCTTCAATTATAGCATTTTCAGGTAGGGGTTGCGCTCGCATAGCAAAACTGTTGGCGCACTATACCATTGGCCTGGCCACCCTTAATTCGATTCCTAGCCATGGCTAATATCACGGCAAGTGATGTCTAAATCTGCACCTACCAGCATGGTGAAGTGTCGTCAATCAATTCCCACAGTTGGCAGAACGTGGGAAGATGTTAATCCAGTAACGGATTGACAAATGGCTGTAAATTGCTCAATACAACCCAAATTTAAATAGATGCATCTGGCTCTATATTGTAATTGCATGCACATATAATATTCTAATATTCTTATTCACACATAACTTTTTCTGTTCTCTAGTCCTCCCCGTTAATAATGTCATTGTATAATATTGTTTATTTGGACAAGCAGGCAGAGGGTAGCAAAAGTGTAAAATTATTGGATTCCATTGATCATTTGTGTCTTCTCGTTATGTTCATCATCATCATTACGACCGTTATCTAGCCACTGCTGGATGAAGACCTCTTCCCTCAATGCCATCTCTATGTCCTGCGATGCCACAATCCACGTGTAATATAATAGCAGTCACTCACAGCACTTTCTGCAGGGGGTCATTAGCGACGCCTGCAAAGCAGGGATCGTTTTTTTTGTTGGGCTCTAAAGAAACGTGAAAATGCCAAGGGGCTTTGGCAGCGAATGTTTGCCCTTGCTAAACCGTCTTGCAGCATGACCCCCAACTGCTTACATGCGCCCTCCCCTGGATCGGACAGGCTTTGTCCGCACTGCACGATACTCAGGATGCCACTTTATTGCTGGAGAAAGCTCCACGAAATCGCTCGTCAATACCACGCATTTAGGAGCGGGGACTTTTTTCCTTTAAGGTCGGTGGGCTAATGTCCACAGCCTACGGGCCAGAGGCCATCAGATTTTCAGTTCCGCTGAACAGGGTCGAACAGCCACGCGAGCGGAATGAGTTTCAATTGTTCCTTGCAGGGCCAAGATTTGGTATCAGGACCCCAGGGATCGCAGGCTCGGCATTCCGATACAGATGTCGCTAATGAAAGAAAATGTACTTTGGTAAACGTGTCCTTGCCGCTGCTGATCATTGAACATTTGTCTCCGAACGCCCACAGCCGTACACGAGGAGATTGCTTTTTTTTCTTTTCTCTATTTCATTTCCCCCCCCTCTTTTTCCGTTGCCCTTTCTCTTTAGGCTCACCCTTGCACGAGCTCCAGCGCGATGAAGTCGGTGCCGTCGCCGCCGTTGTAGAGCAGGAGGCCGTCGGGCGACATCGTCTTGAACTGGAAGAAGAGGTGCATGGCCGCGTACGCCTGGAGCGTCGCCAGCGTCAGGTACGAGCTGCGCGTGCGGAAGGTAACGGGGTCCGCGATGATGGTGCGCAGCCCGAAGCGCGCGTTGATCTCGCAGAGCGCCACGTCGCCATTCTTGCACAGGTCCAGGTAGGGCAGCCCGTTGAAGACGAGCGACTGCAGGTGGCCGATGAAGTTTGACGGCACCACTGAGGTGTAGCGCCGCTCCGTCATGATGCCCGTCTCGATGTTGTGGAACTCGAGGCGGGTGTGGTCGCCCGCCATCTCATCTGCGGCGCGGCACGTGACGCAGAGATTCGGATCAGATGCCCCCCCCCCCCGCTCCACCCTCTCTCGACAGGTGGCTAAGTCGCCCTCGCATTGCAACGTAGTTTCGGCGTGATTGCGGTATTGTGGCCGTGCAGTGGTGCACTTTCTCACAAAGCGCCGATAGTGACCGATTGTCGAATAATTGTAACAACAAAAGAGCGCAAAGGATTTGAAATATGGTCAACTTTTAGCGTGCGCATGGACACAACATTACCTACAGCAGTGTGCGGTGAATATTTAATCTCGTCATGCTTTCAATGTCGTGTAACGGGCATGCAAAATGGAACAACACGGTTGTGGCTGCACGCCGCCGTTACCTTCTTTGGAAACCTCGTCAACGGACAGTTTGAGGAGCTTTCCGCGCCGGGAGACGCGCACGGTGTGCCACTCGTTGTCGTTGAGCTTCTGGCCTGCGTGCAAAACCTCCGGCCCCTTGCCTGCGCCGCGGGCACGGAGAGAAGGGAGCAATGAAAGGCGGCAGTGGGGGAGTGGAAGAGAACACGCACACACTTCGGCGCAAGGCTCTGGGCAGGTGCCGTCAACAGGTGAGACCCTTCGCTAGGAGAAACAGTTCCCCAAGGTGCACTTTCAGTGCTTTTTCCCCATGCATGGGGCAAGTTGTGTTTCTAATCAACGTGGAATTGGTAGACTAGAGCCGGGTAAGTAGGGCAGTGCTTTGTTCTCGCCATGTGAGTTTACTGAACTCTTGGGAGAGATGGAAACTTCCATTTGGTTCAGCCTTATTATGGATAAATCCCCACTAATTGTTCGCCACCTTACTTTTTACACAGATTTGGAATGCGCACCCATGTGTTTTTACCGCCAACTGTATCGCAGAATATTATTTTGCAACAGTAAACATACATTTATGTTATTTGGTGAATGTTAATTATATAAAAAATTTCTTGTTAATCAACCTGACCAGAGGTTGTGATTTGTATCAGAATTAAATTTAAATTGAAGTGCCTGTCACTGCTCTTGTTTGCAGGGTGCGTTAGCAGCGCAGATACAATGTCAAGACTCGTCCATTGCACTGCTTGAGAAAGATAACAGCTTGTACGTATGTTGAACTTATTTCGCACAGTACGTAGCCAACCATGCTAATCGGAAGTGCGGGAAAGGACCACAAACGAAACACAGAAAGCAGTTATAAAGAAATGAATTTGCAATCTAGATTTAAAAGTGCATAGCTCCAGTGGCTTCCTAATATCGGAAGAGCATTCCAGACGGCCGCAGAAGCGCACCTGAAAGCGCGCGATGCGGTGACCGTCTTTGTTCGATGGCTGAGCCAAAAGCCGCTTTGAGGATGATCGGAGTTCACGTGATGCTTCATGCTCCTTGACGAGATCAGCAAGGTGATGTGGTTCATTTGTGGCAAGTACTTTGTCTATAACAAGTCAGACCTTATAATGTGTTCAAAGCGGGAGAGGCAGTGTCGGAAGCCGATGTAGCTCGACGAGCACTGGGTGGACATGGTCGGATATAGCCTCTTTGCTTATGTGGGTATTTTGGTTAACCAAAAATCCCACTTTTACTTGGGATTGACAAATGCTCACGAAGGCTTCCGTATGTTTTTTGTTAAGGTTGTGCTCTGCAGTGTTGAAACGACAACATAATTAAAGTTGGAATCATCTCTGAATAATACGCAACCAAGGGAACAAATATTCCATAAAATTGTTGGAATAAGAAGCCTGTGTATTACACTTTATTTTTTATAATTATATGAAAGAGGTTATTTTTCAATCTCAAGTTGGTCCGTTTGCACGTTGTATAGTTATGTTAGACATCGGCTTTTTTCCACAAATTTAATTTAATAGACGCGGAGTGTTGGAGAAGCTAAAGTACATAGTTAAAACTTTTAATTTCTCTAAAGGCACAACAAAAAATCTATTTGGCACTGTTATCTACCAGATTTCAAAAATTAGATTAATTTCAATGCTTTACTCTCATGAGTTTCAATTATTTAAACGTCTGTCTAGGGGTTTTCTCGGTCGTCACCAATGGCGTTTTATTAATGCTTTTTATTTGCTGTAATGAAGGAACATGGCAATTGAATCCCATGAGCTTTGACAAGAGGTTTAATCTATTTAAGAGACATTCCCAGCCTTACATGTTTTAAATATGAACGTGGAAATATTAGTCTTGTCTGGTTTCTTTTGCATTCGCGGTGGATTTTCAGTGGAATTCTGCCGGTGTGTTACGCACAGCTCTGCTGTAATTGCATCCGTTGATGTTTCTTGGCATCGTCCGACATTGTGTCGTGATCTCCTCTCTCTCTCCGCGTTGCATCCTTACCCCCTTTTCCTCCGTCCCCACACCCTTTCCGACCAGGAGGTGTGGAACGTGCTGAATTATTGAGGCTTATCGATGCTTTTTAAAATGAAATAAAAATTCAAAGCGGAAGAGGCAGTGGCCGCTGCTGCGAATTTTGGGTGCGTCAGCCACAAACCCCATTTTTATATTGCACCTGCAGTTCATCGGTGAGCGGTGGGTGGGTCTCGGCCGAATTAGAGAAACTCTTGTCGTCTCTGAATTAAAAAAGGGAATTGTGACGGCCGGCGTATGTCTTTGCACCGGTGCTACCGCCCCTCAGCACTTGTGCAATGGCTCGTCGCGGTGCGGCTGAGCTACGCACTCCTGCCACTGTGTGGCGATCTTGCTTCACGTTCTTTGCGGGCTCTCACCCTCTGGTAAACGCATCGATATTGGACGATTTACGGTGTTGTGCCGTACAGCGCTCTGATGTCTTTTAAGAGTTGTGCCACGTCTCTCGTTCGGCACGTTTCACTCCCGGCACGCGGAGCGAGACGCCGAACGATACCTGGCGCGACCCCAAAACCCATCGGAGAGCGACTGACTCGCCAGCCTTTGTTTGGGGGATATTTGTGGTACGCAAAGGATGATGACGATTCTATTGGTGGGATAGCCGCGTCGCAACTAATCTGTCAGACTGGCGGTGTGTGCCTGATGCTCCTTTCGCGGGAAACGCCAGCTTCCACGGAGCGTCGTCATTTCTTGCTCCATTCTTGCATTGCGCGGGTTTCAATGTGGAAAATCACTTTTGTTATGACGAATTTCTCCTTGATGTTTTTAGTTGAAGTCCATGTCAAATTGGACCCGTCACACCAAATCCAGCACCGCTCGTCGGCGCCTGCTGTGCGTAGGGTTGTGCCACTCGGCCTTCGCCGTTTGAGCACAAAGGTGTGATGCCGGTTGACTGCTCAATTGTTGGTCCCTGTTGGAGAACGCTGGTCTTGAGCCTCTGGTGTCGTCCTCACGGGGATCGTCTGTGCAATACACTGCACATTGGAATCCGGGGTGTGATTGTGTGAGGTCCTTACGAAAAGTCTGATTTGGGACTTCTGAGCAATGTCAAAGACTTAGTAGGAGGGGGTTAGGCCTCGTTGTGCAGTAGCTCGTCAACCCATCCGACTCGCTCAAAATACATCCCTGCCCGCCCCACCCCCTACCGCCGAGCTGTATTTGCAAAGCTGTGAGCGTGCAGTCACCTATTGGTGACCGTATTTACTATTATAAGCAGGCGTGTTTAATTGGTACGGTTTGGACTGCATGCGCGTTCCGCTCAAGGTGGCACCCTGTGCCAAGGGATCGGAGGTTTTTTTTGACGATGATGTCAATTCGGGGGCGCGGAGGACCTTTTAAATCCGCGTTTTGCCGCACTGCACGTGAATCCTGATTATTGTTTGTGAGACACCTCGTGGCCCCTACTCTGTGCCGTGGCTATAATTGGGGGTAGGTGAATGCTCATTAAATCGGTTAACTTCATCATTAGGCCACTGCAGGTATGCACCGAAATCCGGGCTGCTGCTGTTAAGAGGGCCTAACACTGAAACCATCACTTCGAAAATGGGAGGTAAAAAAAAAATATGAAGGGTACTTATCAATCATATAATAAAAAAAAATATATCCATTGTTTCTGGCAATACAATCCCCGCCACCCCCAGGCTCAATACAAATAAAACTAAATTTCCAATAGTCACGGTGAGCCTTTTGATGCTCGACAGCACTTCGCAACACGTGTTCATGCGCGAGGTGTGAGGCATGTGTTCAGGGCCATCAAGGGAGTGAGGCTCCCTTCTCATTATCTAGACCCCCATCCCACCCGCATCCCCACAGCGATACAGCCACGTGTCGCCTGCACGTGCCCATCGGACGGTGAGCGCCACCTCTGCTTGCGAGCAACACGGATGAGTGAAAGGCAGGGGCATGCGTCAGCCTTCGGGCTCTGTGCCAGGCTCAGCAGGGCCACCGCTTGGCCCACTTGCCAGCCATGTGGCTCCGAGTTTCCGTGCATGTTCGCGTGGCCTTTTGCCTCTGTCTCTCACTCTCGCGTTCATGGCCCATCTGTACGACCACACCTGCCGCTCGATGCGTGCAGTTGTTATTCGTGAATGGCAAATTTGAATGCACAAATAAGCTATTAAATACATATGATCTCATCACTTTATCTCACCACTTTCGTTCTCTCTATCGCTCTCGATGCAGTCGTGTAGACTTCCAGATGCGATTCGTGGATAGCTAAAATCGCGGATAGCAAGTTCGTCAATAACGAGGTAATATTCTACTCCGTATTGTGTTATTGGCCTGGTTCTGTGATTATTAATAATAAAATACATTAATGGTTGTAATTACAGGTCACTAATCTATGCAAGAACTGATTATTTTTTGTCAAATTTTTACATCAACCATAATAGAGGTTTTTTTGGGTTAGATCGCGTAAATATATAAAAGGTTTCAGTTTGTTTTTATAACATCTTAACACCTGTTTTGTTGCCAGAAAAAAGGGGAAAACCTATTCTCATATTTTGGTACTGGCAAAGGAGGTCCCATTATGATATAAATGTGTCGTAAAAACCCGCCACCACCTGACACAGCCAACTCGTAAGCGTTGTCACGTCGTTGGCTGTGTCGGGTGGTGGCGGGTTTTAATGACACATTTATATATTTACGCGATCTAACCCAAACAAACCTCTTATGGATGATATTGGTCGCGAAATCCTCCTACGTGTTAAACTGACTCATTTTTTACATCAACTCTTGTTTTTTCGTTCACATAACGGCTTTTGTCTTCGCTACCCCGGAAATAACATGAGATCATTTATTTTGCATGGGATTTGCATCCATCGTAAATAATCAATTGTAATTTGTGATTCAATGCACGTGTAACAAACCATTTTTAATTGATGAACTAATGCATCGTAACATTCCTAATCATAAATGACAAAATGATACTACATTAGTTATTAAAATTAATATTTTACACAGATATATATTTCAGTAAGTCTTTTCTGGATAAGCCCTTTTATGATCTTGGAGAGAGAGAGATAGAGAGGAAAAAAAACCCAATTTGGAGGTGCAGCTTCTTGAAAGAGTTCAAAGAAATTCATACACACGGCATGGAGATGAGAGATACGTG